TACTAGTATTAGACTTTATTTGTATTTATATTTGTTTTGGTTTTGGTTTTGGAGGTAACTATCTATTTGGTTGACAATAGTATGAATTTTTTTTTATGCATTATGGAAATTTTTTATATCGAAATTATTGTTCATTGAAGCATTCTTTTTATAGACATGGGTTATTTTTAATGAAGTTACATTTTCAGATAAATGTTTAACATCCTAACAACTCTATTGCAATGTAAGAAATTCAATTATATCATTTTTGAAAGTATAATCCAACAAAAATCCATTGTCACAAAATAATAATTATAACAATTTTATATGTTTAAAATATAATGCACGATATACATAAATAAAGATAAAATAAATTAGGCAACAATTGTAAATAGTTGAAGCGACGAACTCTTTCTGTTGCGTAATAATTTTAGCTACAAGCACATGTTACATAAACAAATATCCATTGTCACAAAGTGATTTTCATAATAATTTTATATATTGTAAAATAAATAATGCCACATATATAGTTAATTACAAAATAAATTAGGGAACAACTCTATATCGTTGCACAAATGATGATGTGCTTGTGTTGCGAAATAAACTTAGCTAAACAAAATCACTCTTTACATAATAAATTGTACTACAAATGTTGAATATCTTAAAATATATTATGCAACACAATAAACGCATTGTAAAATAATTTTAGCAAAGAAAAATAGTAGGTAGCAAAAGTTAACACCTTTAAAAGAATATCGCAACAAACATTTTTCTCATAAAAACTTTATTGGAATAATCGTTGTAACAAACTAACTTATAGCCCTTTATTTTTTCATGGCATATATGCATTATGACGCATTATGGCAAATATTGTGTTGCTATTTAGTATTTTTTTGCATCAAACAAACAGTGTTGTGATTTTGTTAACGCAATGAATGAACGAAAGTTGTCACATAATACATTTTGTGACTCAACATTCACAACAAACATATTTTTCGTAAAAACTTTATTGGAATATTCATTAACAAACTAACTACTCGCCCTTTTAATTTTTGCGACATATACACATTACGACGACATTATGGTTACAAATATTATGTTACTATTTCATATTTTTTGCGTCAAACGAACAGTATTACGATTTTGTAAATGCAATGAATGATCGAAAATCGTCGCAGAACACATTTCATAACTCATATAGCGCGATAATAACCGCAACAAATATATTGTCGTCGCTAAATTACTTTTGCAACAAACTTTCAACTTTTGTGAGAACATTTCTTTTCGCGAAATTAGTTATTTTTTGTAGTGTCATGTTGTTGAGTATCTTCCATTATAATGTTTTATTACAAGACTAAGATCAATCAAGGATGAAGTACCACCAATAATCTATTTAACCACAATATTCAATACTTACATTTAATAATAATAATAATAATAATAATAATAATAATAATAATAATAATAATAATAATAATAATAATAATCCAACAAGAACCCCATCATTGTCAAATACTTACATTCAAAAATATGTAGGAATTGGTTCAAATAATTAATCAAAAAGTGAAAAATGAAGAGGTGTGACTATATGTCAATTTCGACCAAATATTCAGATTTGATCCATTGGTCAAATTATAAAAGTAAATAGGCCAACTTATTCTACTCGTCGAGTAGGTTGTCGTGGTATATTTGGAATCTCGAAGCCAGTTCTGGATGAATGAAAAATTGCGGTCCAAAATTGAAAAAAATGAAGTATTGCAACTTTTCGAAAGGATGCAGGTTTTGGCCAAGTGTTGCAACTTTTTGAAAAGATACATGTTTTGGCTCACACTATTTTATTTGCACCGTTTCTATATCTATAAATAGAACTCTATGGACATGATTTTGAGTATACCAATTGTATTGAGCATTCACTCTCCTCTTACAATTATCTCCTTTCTAATTTCATAGCATTTTCATACATTTCCTTGGTAGAGAAAGAATTCCGATCGAGTTCGTTGGTCGAAGTCATTTGGAGTGCTCCTATGGCTTGAAGTGGTCGTTATATCTTGGGAGATGATTGTCGAAAAATTATTAGCACCGATGCGGGGCAAATTCATCTTAAGGATCAAGTGTCAAACACTTGCCTCGATCAAAAATTTCATCACTTGCATCTTTCTTCCTACAGTTTTTTGATTTCTTTTGATTATATTTTGATTTCGGGAAATGATTAACATTGTTTATATGTTTATGTTGCAAGGTTCGATCAAAAGAATAATTTGCTTTCGTTCAAGAATCGAAAGCAATGAATCCATATCCATGCATTCAAATTCGGTAAATTTTATGTTTTGCCTCTTAAATTCTACTTCAGTAAGTCAAAATTACGTTTCGATTTCACGCAAATAATCGGTATGCTTTTGTGAATATAATATGCACATTTGAATCAATGTAAACTTCCCCAACAAAACATGCGCTAGTAAAAACCATCTAGAGTACACACATATCCTCACTTGTGCAAATCCTTTCGCGTCGGACTTCTAACTAGAGAATGCAATGTGTTATGACTACTGCCACTCCATTTGTCTGGACCATCGAGACTTGCCATCTGCCACTCCCTTATTTCTGTACTAAAACATCAAATGAAAGACACTAGACAGCAAGATATAATTGTCATGTTGAATTGTAGAAGTCTAAAATTCAGGTGTTTTGGAATTATATCGCAGTTTATTAAGAGTTTAATACGTTTGAATGTTTCTACTTGGTGATTTATTTGTTTATATTTTCGAATTTTATTGAATACTCGAAGGATACATATATTTATATTGTTGGTGCCATCAATGCCACATGATCTTCTACAAATGGAATAAAATAGCTTGACATTTCAAATAGTTATGTTTGGAAGTCACCTTGAGTGAAATCAAATCAAAGTATAATTACCCAATTAAATAAAATTACCAGTAGAGAATGGTGATCGAGCTTGATTTGACTGTATCCCATAGTATATTTCATCAGCCAAAGAATTTTAATAAAATATTCATTATGAAAAGAACTTTCTAAACAAAAAATAACGAAGTATTAAACACGAAAAATAAACAAAACCCATATTTTCATGTCATCCCGACAACAGTTTTGGTTTAATGGACAAAACTCGACCAGTTTAAATTATAATGAGCAATCAAAGACGTCAGTCAAAGTATAGTGAGTAATTAAAACGTCTCTCTTACGTGGATTTTTCCTCTTATGTGGTTGGGCATCTAACAGTGATAAGGTACCAAATGTGAAATTCATCTGCCAAGTTAGCTATTTCATTAGAGACATGAAACGAAAGTGATTCTAATGAGTAACGTCCAATACTTTGAGAAGTTTAGTGATCAAAACTCGACATCTTAAAGTGTAGTGACGAATCCAAAAAAGATTAAGTTTAGTAATTATTGGGACAATTAACTTGAGACAAAAATATATTAGTGTAACACGCCATGTAGTGAAGCTGAAAAGCTACATAAGAGCATGCTAGTGCACACAGACTCAACTTGCCCTACTATGTACATATATATAAAACATAATCTAAATATACATTTCAGTGATAATCTAATCTATTACACCCATAGTTGTCAAGAGGAAATTCGTTATTTGGACATCATGCAAAAGATTTTATCTTTACTTTTACAGTTGCTGGAATCTCTCCAACAAGCACATAGTTATGCGAAATTCATGATAGTAAATGCGATTTGATTTGTGATATACTACTTTGAAACTTAAGATTTCCAGATATACTTGGTATAATATTTTGCAAATTATGCCTGAACAAAACAATTCCCAGTGGTCTTTGATAACGAGATGAGCATTGAAAACTGAAGGCAGCCACTTAGCTTTATTAATCGGATATTAACAGTATCATTTGCAAGCAGTATCTTCTTTTTGTCATGTTATTTTCAAAATGGTAGGAATTCCGTATAGCTTTGCTCTTAAGAAATAAAACTCAACCCAAAAAATAAATAAATAAATAAAATTAGCTAAATTCCAAAACCGGTCCTAAACCTTCGTGAGCATGCCACTTGTATACCTAAGATCCCAACATGTCATTTGTGAATAATTCCCGGTGTACAGGTAGGGGTTCGCACCGACTACTAACATCATGCGAGACCCTATAAAAAATTATCCAAAAAAGATCCACCCATCCTCTGTTGTGAGTAGTCGGTAAGGTGAACCCCTACCTTGTACACCAAGAATAATTCATTATTTGTTGCATGTATCCCGATTCTTTTAAAATCGTGAAACCCATTTCTCTAGTTAACAGGAATTTTGGAAATAACAAATTTTGTTCAACAATTTTACCATTTTAGTTCACCATCACGTGACCATTTAAGATGAGCCTCAGGGGCGGAGGGAGGGGAGCTCA